CCACCCACCCACCCACCCTGTTCCTGATCCCAGCGAACTGAGACTGCTTAGGGAGAAGAGACATGGTAGATTAAAAGACAGCAATGTTAACTCAAGAATGCCTGGTTGCTTTTATGCTTATAAAACTGTGACAGTGCTCCTCACCTCCCAAGTCCCAGAACCCGGTTGTCAGTCCCAGAGTGATGCTGGATTGAGGAAACATGCCATCACGTAGAATTTCCACCTCTCCTCCCACATAGCTCTCAAACCTGTGGAGGAGTCTAAATGCCTAATCCCCAGCAACTCATTAAAAACTCTCATGTGCGCTCCTTTTCTGTAGTATCCGTAGACTCCAAGTTTCTCTCCTACTTCTCTCTGACATAACTCTCTCATCTGTGCGGCCCCTATGGTTCTTATTTCATGCTAACTGCTTTTTTTCTCAAGAATTCACCTGAGAGGATTTTATCCTTTCTCTTGACAGAGTAGTAAGAGGGGAAGAAATAAAAGTGACAAAGGGATAGGAAGGCTATGAGATCCACATTTTAATAATTTTATACTAGCATATTGGAAATGTCATAAACCTTATATCTGCAGTCTTTCCTCTCAACAGTCAGAGCACCTAATTGAAAAAAATGTTGCCCAGAAAAGGCTTTCATTATTTGGAACAGAAGTTCTCACCCTCTCTTCTCTACTGATGTTCTTGTGCCTGATGCACTTCCCGGGGGATATTCAGAGCTCTGTGCAGTGTCCATCATACTTGCTTTCTCTCTTGCTCAAGGAAGTGGATGGATATGCTATGTGAGTAAAAGTGGCGGTATTATCCACATAACCCTAAATTTGCAAAACTACTGTATTAATATAGGCAGTCATCCTTTCATAAGTGTGGATTTCAAGCTACCCTCACCTTCATTCATTTTACAATACGTGATGCCTTATAACCACCTTTCAAAGACTTAATTGTGGCTGTCACATGGTGCATACCCGCTGAGAAAACGGACCCGACTGGAAGCCAAGGTTGTATGTTTAACAGCCTCTGGAGCAGTGCCAGGCCATGCACTTTGAGACATCTTTTTTTCCCTCTCCCTTCAGCCCTCAGGATCAGCCTTGCAGCTACTCCCAGCCCTGCGTAAGTATAGTCCCACAGAGCCCAGGATTATACCCGGGATCCCATAGTTTAGTAGCACAAAGTGACCTGATGACCATAGGGTACCCCTTTTCCCAGCTCTGCCTCCCCTGTCCCCACCCACACTTTCTTTTACATTTATTCCCCATCCTCTTCAACCCTCATCCCTGGTCCCTCCCTACTCTGTAGCCCACTGAGTATACTCGACGGCAGTCAACTGGTCAATGCCCTTTTGGGCAGAGCAGCAATGTCAAGTAAAAATAATGCTTTCTTTTAACCCCTGCTTTAGGTCCCCAGTGTGTCAATGACAAAGAATTTTACAGATTATGGGCTTCTTGACTATCAGTTCACAAGTGGCATCCAGGGATGGGCAGCAGTTGTCCGAAGGGACAGAACCAGACCCTGATAATCCACTGTCTCAGAAATCATGTTTTGCCCAGGCCAAGGTACCTTATGGATACACTTACTACCCACTAGGCCATAGTTAGGGATCTTACAAAACTTTAGCTTTTCAGAACTGCAGCCACCACCCTCTTTAGTACATATAAGTCTATTGAACTTTCATGCACTTGCCTCAGATTAATATGTGCATCACAAAGGTAGAGAAAGCTCATACCAATACCATAATTAAGAACTTCTGCTTAAAGCACTGTGAATGAATATTCTAAGACTGAATAGTACTACTTTCCTCCATTCAGTTATCAATGCTTCAATAATGCTCCTTGTGAGTGCAATAACTTCCAAAAACTCAATGTAAAATTTCCTGTTCATTTTATTTATATTTATTTATTTTCTATTTTAGATTCAGGAGGTACACATTCATATTAGTTACA